CCATCTGTCCCATTTGCGTATTACTGGCAGTGGATGTGATACCAAAGTCATCTTGGTCAAGTTGCGTATCAGCAGCAGCGAAACATTCACCTCTTAGAATTTTCGCAGGAAGATCTGCAAACCTTGTTTTATTTTGGTAAATTAAGGAAATTTTGCTTACCCACCCGGTTCAGCTGTGATTGGTCTTCCAAGCCCAATTCCATCAGTAGTTCCGTCAGTAACGGCCTTTACCATTGCTGGTGCGGTACGGAACCCACCAGTTACATACACTTTCGTTTTCTCAAAAACTGGTCGAATCTGAAAAATACGGGCTGGAAGATTGGTGGGTAGATGAATACACAGTCAGCGTCCACCTAAATTTCCCATTCACGTTTTTATCGTTATGAAGCCTTTCGGTAGCCCTGCTTAGATATACAAAGTGCAGAATGTGCACTCCCTCCCAAAAAACCCGATTCGGAGCCCTAATTTGGAGGCATAGACAACTTTTATTGCCTTGGTGGGAGGAGCTTGATAAAAAGGGCGTGGCTGCTAGCCTTCGCGGGCTCCAGGCTCATTTTTCCATCCAAAAGCCACATAAAAGGGCGGACAAAAGCAAATGTCCTACTCCTAGGGGTTTCTTGTAGACTGTGTACTGATCGGGGAGTATAGATTCCTGGAAGCTGCCTTTAAAAAATCACCTGTGCTGCGAAATCCAGGAAAAATGCTTCTCTCTGCCTTGTAGAGTCGCGCATATGTTGAAATGCTAACCGCTCAATGTTTCCACCAGAGAGTTCAACAAAATCGAAACCTAAGTCCTGAAAATGAAACAATTTCATTGAGTTTTCTAAAAGCTACAGGATATGGTTACCTCCATCATTCGACACATCAATTTTGCATCGTCGACTTTTAGACCATTATCCTGAAACTCGACTGAATTGGTTTTTATTCCAACGAGAAAGCCCGTCGAAGGGTCAATTTCTTTCCTGAAGAATTACGATTAGAATTTTATGAAAGTCTATTTTTGGATACCTTATGGCCTGGAATATTTCTTGGACGATTCGCATTCGATTTTCAGCAGAGCCACCATATTGATCAGTACGTTTATTAGTGAGTGGTGACAAAAACTGAGAAAGTAAATATCCGTGAGCAGCATGGAGCTGTACTCCATCGAATCCTGAATTTTTTTGGTTTCAAAATATTCTTGGTTCTAGTAAGCATGGATAAGAAGAAATTTGCAAAAAATCAAATTTCAAAAAAGTAGGACTAAAACTTTGCCAGAATGACTCCCTCACCCAGTTCGAAAGCAAATTTGGCAGCAAACACAAATCGATCAATGACTTCAGATTTGATCTGCTCAATTGATAACGGAACAGGCTTTCCGAATCCCATAAAACGTCTCTTCACTGTCAGCTGTACATCTGAGCATGAAAATGGATGCGGATTGATCAACTCAGGAGTTTGTCTGCCTGCCTGAAATGGAAATTATAGTTAGAGATGACGTTGTACACTTCAAAATATCTCAAAATCATGGTTTGAGTGTGATAAGGCAAAGCACTTCAAAATATCTCAAAATCAAGGTTTGAGTGTGATAAGGCAAAACGGGTACTAGGGTTTTTACGCATAGAGGAAAATAGGTTGCCACTAGGGTCCGGACAGCTAACACGAACTTTGTGAGGGACAAGTACATATTTGTTGCAGTTGCCCGCGACCTCCACCTCCTCCTTTCGGCGACCTAACCTGCATCAGTTTTCTCCGTCGAAATAGGGTGCCCCAACTAAGCAGTAGTAGCTCAAGTTGCAGTCCATATAATTTACTTTTAGCCGAGATATATAGCTTCAATCTCTGGCCCAATCTACCGTATCTTTTCAATCAGTTCCCATTTGAGAGTACGATGTGGGGCAAAAAAATTTTTCTACCGGAAATGAAGCATGTGAGTACGCAGAGAAGTCACGTACCCTGATTTCTCTAGACATTGCCCCCTAGCACGAAAAATATTAGGTTGTGTAATAAGTTCTGCCCCATTTTTTCTTT